CCAACGAATTTCTTCTTCATGCACTTTCATACGAAATGAAGGCCCCCTTAACATTTTTAACTCTGTCCTAAAGATGGCCTCTCTCATTAGCAATACCGAATAAGATTCCGCCGAAATGTCCGGTCAAATGCTGAAAGTTGTCACTAGTACTACAACAGATTTTGCGCGGACTGTTCATTTTGCGCAATGTCCCTTGTTTACCTGATACTGGCATACGTCTCAAAACGTATGACAAGGTGGTTGGAAGGAATTAGTAGATTTGCCTTACTGGATACAGACGGAGGATTACCTTGGGCTTTTGTCAGTTGAATTGTGCGAAGAAGACCTCCGCTCTCCATCCTACGAGCCCGATGACTCCGTCCGTCATGTGGCGAGCATCTTCAGAGCCAGAAACCATTACACATAAACAATCACCAAAAACACAAAACCATAAATGTGGCCAACTGAAATCCTAATTCCTTATTATACTTCACCTTGCGATCTTAATGATGTATTCCAGGATTTAGTTAGCTTTTTTTATGTTTATCTTACATGCCTGTAAACAAGTCAAAGTAATGCAGAAACCCGGTTCTTCTTCATACCTTACTCACTTGATTGTTTTGGAAAATACAACAGCTAAAATTTGAATATATGTGACATTTTCCCCTGATTTAAGATTTACACTATGCCAATTTGATTGTTTATATAAGATGTATTCACCCTATTGCGTTTAAAGCGATGAGGGACTGGTAGTAAAATTTTCCCTCAATAATATGAGTAAAGCTGACGTTTCCATTGAATTTCACATCGCCTTGCTTTCCCAAAAGTTGTTCCCATCCCGACTGGAGTGGACTGCATTTTTGATCTTGCATAGGTCTTATCAACACCCCCAGCGAGAGTCGAACCATGAAAGTGCAGTATGTGAGATTGACACGTTTGCCACGAGTGCCCTTGGGTCACAGGGCAGATGTGAATTTTAAGGAAGGCTAGACATTTTCCCATATCACCTTCTAGTGTAGGTTTCTTGATGAAGCAAACGTATTTTTCAATCAAGGTATGAAGACCAAGATGGTGTGGCCTTTTGTGTGGTCGCAGTCTCCTTTCGTTGTATAGAGGT